CAACTCCTTCAAAGTACCTGCTGGTCTCTCCTCTGGGTCTCCGTATCTCTCATTACATTATTTGTTTTTCTCCTTTCATGCCACTGTCTTGAAGGTAGAGATTACACATTATCCCTACCTACTTTCTTTTATTTTTCTGGTACCAAACTATATCCCTGGCCCCCCTATCTAGTTTCTAATGCATAACAGGGATTAATGAGAAGACAGGAAGAAGCCAAGCATGGTGGCTCACACCTGTGATCCCAGCACTCTGGGAAGCTAAGGCAGGCGAACTGCAAGCTCAGGCCCAAACAGCTATACAGAAATTTAGTGAGACCCTGTTTCAAAAAAGGTCTGCAGGTTCAGCTGCAGATACTGTTGACCTCTCCTAAGGATAGGAGAGGGGGTAAAACACTGCCCCCTCCCTTGTTTGCACACAGGGATGCTGATGCCCGCAGTATCCCCAGGGCAGAACAACATCAGCCAAGGGCTAAAAAAAAAATTACATATCTGGATATGGGATTGGTATGTCTCTCATTAATCATTTACAGTTCTTTCTTCCTACAATTGCATGTTTGCTACATTGCCTTGTTTAACTAGTAAAAATGGGACTTTCCAGAATCTTTGTGCTCTAGTTTTTCTAAGACAGGAGTCCCCTGTCCCCATTGCTCAGAAATTTGTCTTTGCCTCTTTATTCCTTTATTGTAAACCCCCTAGGTCGGTTAACAGGCTGGCTCCTACAGTGGGGCATGTAGCTCAGGATGAAGGCCCTAGGTTCAATCCTCAGGACTGGAAAAAAAAGGGCAAAAAAGAATGTGAAGCAACCACTGTGAAGACAGTAACTTACCCAAGTACTCATTCAGTAACTAAAGATTTACTAAGCATCTCTTTAGTGCCAGAGTGCATGAATGGTAAATACGATAGATGTACCCAGACTGGACAGTGTACAGTCTAATGAGACTGACTTACACGTTAGCAAACAATATAACTACCAACTGTATAATAAGACCTATGAAAGAAACAACCAGTACAATAAGAACTATGAAGGACTAGTGCTGTGGAACAGAAAATTCACAAGGAATTACAAAATAACAAATCTAGTTTAGATATGGTGGTAAGCAAAGTACTCTAGGACAAACAGAACTAACCATGTACACTGCAGCAAGGTATTCCAAAACAAAGCAATAAAACATGCAATGGCTCTGGAACAAGAAAGTTTTGCCTGCTGCAGCAATGCAAACACCAGGGCCAGGGATTTAGCTCAGTGGTTCTGCCACCTGCCTTGCAAGCACGAGGGCCCAAGTTCTATCCCAGCTACCAAAACATACACACACACACACAAGAATTCAAAGATTCAAAAGAATTCAAAGTGCTTGAAGATCAATATGCCTGACATATAGTAAGTAAGGTGAGGGATGGAAGAAAGGAGTTAAGCAAAGGCCGGATATGGCAGGGAAAGGCTGTGGTGAAGATTTGAATGTTTTGTTTTGTCTTGTCTTATTTGAAGCAAGGTTTCAACTTAGGCTGGTCTTGAACTCACTGTGTAGCCCAGGCTGGCCTAAAACTCCTTGGCCATCCTCTTTCAGCTTCCTGAGTGCTGAGATTATAGGCATGAGCTCCACACTCAGCTCAGAGATCCGAATTTTTTTTATTTATTTATTTATTTATTTATTTATTTATTTATTTATTAATTTTAATCTAAGTGCAAAGGCAAACACAGTCATTGAAAGAGGCTAAGCAAGGCAGTTAACATGATTATTCTATTTCTTTCAAAAGGTTTTTTTCTTGTGTAAAAAAAATGGAAAAGAATGCCAGAAAAATGAAATTATCAGTTTGCACACATTCCCAGGCCACATCAATCATTTCTCGTTTTGTTTTTTAAAACAGGATCCTGATATGTTAGTTTACTCAGGCTAACTTTGAACTCACTATGGAACTCAGGCTGGCCTTGAACTCCTGGTGATGCTCCTGCCTCAGATTCCCAGGTGCTGGGATTACAGGTGTGCACTACCACACCTTACAGTAATTAGCAACTGAATGTTATACCTTGTTCTATCAGTTCAGTATAAGCAGGTTAAAAAACAGGAACCACACATGGATTTTTAAGCCACATCAATCACCTTTTTTTTTTTTTAATTTTATAAGTCATGATTATGCCTGAATTCTATCATCCCTTTACCAACCAAAGGAATGACAGCTCTTAGATAGGACTTCCCATCCTTATTTATCAGCAGTACTCTCTCTGTACTACATGTACATACAGATGTATGTATATATAAATATAGTATTCACATACATATGCATACTGTATTATGAACAGCAGAGACTTAGCTTAAGGTAATTTCTATTAATGCCTCAGCAGCAGCTCCCTAAATACAGGATCCCTACCCTAGAGCCACTAGCCCTGCAAAAAAGCACTTCAATAAAAACAGTTTAAAGAAGCACAAAAGGAGCATCGAAGGACTTGAAAAAAGAAAGGGTACTTTTCCTTCTTTCTACCACCACATCACCAAAAGAAAATTAAGAAAAATCTCTTTCCTGCCCTCACAGCTCTGCTGGCATCAAATTTCTGAAGCAAGATCACATTACATGCTAGGCCCTGAAGGCTGCCATTTGCTCTATGTTGTACAAGTGGGCCATCTCCTTGAAAGGTAGTAATGATGCCTGATGTGATGAAAAAACTTGGGCTTTGCTTCCAGCCTTAAGTATCAAGAGAAGAGACAGAGAGGCTTGGAATTTTCATAACATAAAGCAGTGGGGCCGGGCATGGTGGCTCACGCCTGTAATCCCAGCACTCGGGAGGCTGAAGCAGGAGGATCACTGTGAGTTCGAGACCAGTCTGAGCTACATAGTGAGTTCGAGGTCAGCCTCAACTACACAGTGAAACCCCGTCTCAAAAAACCCCCCCCAAAAAAAGCAGTGGGACTTCTGTCTCTCAGGTATATGACTTCATACAGAATATAGGCAAGATTATTTCCTTGACATTACCTAGGATGAGCGTAAAGGCACACCAGGGAACCAACCATAGGAAGAAGAGTTTGTACACATGGCACAGATTTATATGCTATTCTAGTCGTAAGGCCATTTTCCTCTGCCAGCAAAGGGCCTAAGACTGGCAGATGAGAACAGAAGGCTTGCTGAATATGTGCTAATAGCTCATCCAGGTATTTCTTTTAGAAAGCACTCCACCACTCTTGGTTTGTATTTGCTCCCTTTGTAGATATATGTAAGAGCTGGATCACCTTGGTTAAGAGAGAGCACTGTTTCCTGAATGTCTCAAGGAGACAGAGAACAAACTCAAGATTTACCTATGCAGTGCTCTAATGCCTGATAACCTATTCTTGCTCCCACTGAATCAAGTAGCTCTCAGTTAATCTAGCAATCACAGAATCCAGAAATACCAGTGTTGAAGTACAACACAAGTAGTTTTTTAAAAAAACATTTACTAGTTTACTATGAATAATACTATAACTGATGAACAGCCAGATGAAAAGGTACATATGCAAGGGTTAGAAGTGTTCCAAGTCCAGGAGCTGTGTGCATCTCCTTCTCTTCATGTGGATGCGTTCACTACCCCAGAAATTACATAGCTACTAAAAGTCAGCATGGAGGAAGTAACATAAGCCATCTCTAGAACTTGAAAACATGATTACACACTGAGCAAAAATGTAGAAAACGTTGCTAGGGGTATAGCTCAGTATGTTAGATCACTTATCTAACATGCTCAAGGCCCTAAGTCTGATCCACAGACTGGTAAAAAAATTCAGGAAAAAACATGTACTAACAGAAGAGGATACTAGTATTCATTCTGCAAGTATTTACTGAATATCTACTGCATTTTAGGCACCATGCTAGGTTGACAAAAATGCAGACAGATGTAGTCTGAGCCCTCACAGAACACATACAATCTAGTAAGAAAGAATGATAATGAGCAAGTAAACTACAACTCTGATTAAGTATTATGAAAGGGAAAGCCAGAATGCTTTGAAAGTATGTATTTAAGAGAACCTAATCTGCCTTCTGTTTTTGGTGAGAGTGGGGGTACAATACATGCTATAATCTAGAAACAGAAAACTATAAAAGCAAAATACCTATCTACGTCTCCAGCACTCATCTAAAGAAACTTAAGCAGTCTACTGATTCTCTTGTATATTCCTGTGAAAAGATACATCAGATCCCAGAAAATGATTTTAATACGCAATCCATACAATAAACTTTCCTACCTAAAAAGGATGTACTGGGCCAGGGATTTAGCTCAGCGGTTCAGTGGCCTGCCTTGCAAGTGCAAGGACCCAAGTTCAATCCCCGGTACCAAAAACTAAACAAATAAATAAAAAGGATGTACTATCTTAAGAACAATATACAATTCACTCTGTGGCTGTATTTCACATTATATGAGTGAATAAACACACTCTGGTCTGTATGACAAGACTGTGTTAGATTAGTTAGCGAGTTAGTCTTCTCGACCATGGTAATTCCAGGCAAAAGAGAATGGATGCTAAAACTGAGGTTCTAGTAGAATCTCAGAAGGCTGATGACTGATCTTGGATTGTTTCATCAACCAGCTCTCAGCTTGCCCATCTCTATTACATTTCAATCTCTGCTGTCATTTTAATAAATATAACATCAGAAAATACTAGGAAATGAATTTAAAATCTGCTAAGAAAAGAATGTGAGGATAATGGAAACTCATAATTAGTTGTTAAAGGAATGAAGTTTAAAGGCACTCATCAATCTCTCTACATCAAGTTGCTGAACTCCCAAGGGGGCACTGAGAAAAGCCATATATTTCTTCTAAATGTGTGTGCATGCGCACTCTGCGTGTATATAAAATAGTCATAGCCGGGTGTGGTGGCGCATGCCCGTAATCCCAGCACTCGGGAGGCTGAGGCAGGAGGATCACTGTGAGTTCGAGACCAGCCTGGGCTGCATAGTGAGTTCCAGGTCAGTCTCAACTACATAGTGAGACCCTGTCTCAAAAAACCAAAAAAACAAAACAAAACAAAAATAGTCATACTTACCTCCACTCAAGGCCATACCAGTTCCACGATGGCAAATAGACATCATCATGGGAAGAGACCAACTACAAAGAAACACACAGACAAGTTTTAAAAAGAAGAAGATGCCAGGTGTTTAATCCTAGCTACTTGAGAGGCTTCAGGCAGTAGCATTCAAGTTCAAGCCAGTTTGGGTAATTTAGTAAGACCCTGTTTCAAAATTTAAAAAAAAAGAAAAGAAAGGGTGGGATATGTAGCTCAAGGGTAGAGTGCCTCTGGGTTCCATGACACATACACACACAGAAAAAAGACCTCATAGCAGAGAATGATCTTGGTAAAAACAAAATAAAAAACTAAATAAGCACTATTTAATATTTCCTTTCTTTTTTTGTTTTTTGAGACATGGTCTCGCCATGTAGTTCTGGCTGGCCTTGAACTCACAGCAATCCTGTTGTCTCAGCCTCTCAAGTGCTGAGATCACAGGTGTGTGCCACCACACCAGGCTTATTTAATATTTCTGTGGCTGGGGATTTAGCTCAGTGGTTCCACCACCTGCCTCACAAGTGCAAGGTCCCAAGTTCCCAAGTTCAATCCCTGGAGAGAGAGAGAGAGACAGAGAGAGAGAGAGAGAGAGAGAGAGAGAGAGAGAGAGAGAGAGAGAGTGTGTGTGTGTGCGTGTGTGTGTGTGTATTTCCATATTTCTATTTTTAAATTTGAAATAATGGGCTGGTGGTGTAGCTCAGTGGTAGGACATTTGCATATCTTGCATGAGGTAGTACAAAAGACAAAGAAAACTGATTAATTAAGAACTGTCTTGCTGGATGTCATGGCGCATGCCTGTGATCCCAGCATTCAGGAGGCTGAGGCAGGAAGATTCAAGGCCAGGCTGAGCTGAAGAGACCCTGTATCAAAAAAAAAGACAAGAAGTGTCTTTCTCTTTTTACCAAACTGCATTATTGTTAGAGCTGAGAGAGAGAAACTACCCCTTTTACATGAAGAAACATGGGTCACCATGTTGACATCAATGAAAGTGGGGACAGCTAGAAAGTAATCACCAGAATACAACCAGCCAGGTCCTTCTATTTTCTAGTCATAACAATGAAGTAGAAGAAAATCTGATGTTTTATTTATCCAGTTTCATAGAAATATACAGTCATTCTTAAATTTTCCTTATATCCCCCAAAACATCCATATTTAACATACCATTCACTCTTCCCTATAAGTTACCTAGCCCACAATTTTACATCTAATTTTGCTACATTTTATATATATTACTTAATCCATGATAGTTCTAAACTACTTTTTCATCAAATTCCTTTTAAAATCACGACTCATCAATTTGCTAAAGCATTTCCGTAGAAGGGCAACCAACATGTTGTTCTAGATCTAGTTCTCATGCTCAAGAAGGCAACTGGTCAGTAAAACAAAAAGAACAAGACTCTTTGGAGAAGGCTGACATACATTTGGAATATCACCATAGAGCACAGTCAGACCACATACTCAATATTCTGAAGCAAAGTAACTTAAGGTTGAAAAGATCTCAAGAAATTCTATAGAGGTAATGAAAATGGTCAAGAAGTGAGCCAGCAGGCCAGGGATTTAGCTCAGTGGTGCTGCCACCTGTCTCAAAAGATCAAGGTCCTAAATGCAATCCAAAAAAAAGGAAGTAGTAGTGAGCCAGCCAGCCGTAGAGGTATATACCCATAATCCCAGCATTCAGGAGGCGAAGACGGGAGGATTGCCAGTTTGAGGCCAGCCTGGACTACTATAAAATAAGACCCAGTCTTTAAAAGAAAAAAAAAAACAAAAGCAGTAATATTGAAACAAAAAAACAAACAAAAAATTGGCTAGGCAGTACTCTGATGAATTCATTTTAACCAGACAAATGTAAAACGTGGGATGACATAACCAAAGACAAATGGAACAATGGCATAATTTGACAGGAAGAATCAGGAGATTAAAACTCAGAATGAGCTGAGACTTGCAAAAATGTCAAGGACAACAAAAAGCGGCTTTAAAAATTCAGAGAAAGAAAGCCTAACTGGGATAGACAATTTTATGTTAAAATGTTGACAGTGTGTGAAACAGATTGCTCAAGTGTTTTGTCAGAGATGATTACCAGACCAAAAAAGAGAGAATAAGGTTTGATTGGAAACAACTGAAATCTTAAAGGGGCGAAGAAATTGTAAGACAACTGCTTAGCATTCTGAATGCACTTAGGGCTCCTAAACCAGATGAATTAAAATACCATGACTGAAAAACAGCTGAATCTAAATGTTACCCTAATTTTAAACACCACAGCTTGGTTAGTCTAGTACTGAGCAGATAAAGCACATCTCATTTTCCAAAAATAACCAAACATTATTTCAGTACCACATAATCTTTGAGAATCTTATTTCTTATAAGCCAAGTATTTAGCCCCTTCCCATGAACTCAGACAAGACTTTAAGCCTCAGGAAACAAAGCAACAGAACTCAGGATGCGAAGATTTTCAGATTTTACTTCCTCCTTCATGCTATGAGGAAGCCCAAAGTAGGATATGTATAGTTTATAAGGAAAGCCCATGTAGAGAAAATAAGGGCCGGGGTCAAGGATTTAACTTAGTAGCACGGTGCCTGCCTCGCAAGCACAAGTCCTGAGTTCGATCCCAGTACCACACACACACACACACACACACACACACACACACACAAGGGCCTTTTGGACAGACAGAATAAGGCCAAGACATGTGAGCAATTCATCTTCAGATTAATTTAACCCCAGCCTTTACTTTTTCCAGCTGAGGTCCCAGATACTATAAAACAGAGACAAGTCATCCCTACTATTTGCTGTGGGAACGTTAGGTAAGAGTCTAGTATAGAAAATCAAGACTTTTAATTCACTTACAGAAGAGGTGGTCACTAGGAGCCAGTAAAATTTCCATTAAGAAATGCACTTTTTTAGGAAATATGGAGATCCTTTGAACATAAGTTATAGCTTATTTATCTTTCATTTCTGACTCCTAGAAAAGTACCAAGCACACTGTGAGCCATCGAAAAAGTACTGGCATAAATTACATTAATTTTATCTCCTTTTTTTTAACTTTGTTAATGGAATGCTAATAAAAGGAATGCTAGAGATAGAGACTACACAAATTTTAACAAGTAATCTAACAACTGTGCTGCAAACCATACTATCAAAAAGTAAAAGCATTTCTCCAAAGAAAACACACAAATGGCCAATAAATATATGAGGGGACCAGGGATTTAGCTCAGTGGTTCCACTGCCTGCCTTGCAAGTGCAAGGACCCGAGTTCGATCCCGGATACCAAAAAGAAAAGAAATCATTTACTTCCATGCCTTTCCAAAGAAATCTGAAGGTCAGTAATAAAGTATGATTTCAGATATCTCAGACACTTTTCCTTAACAAGTCACCCTGGAAAGAGCCCTGTGCTCCATACTATGTCTTTTTTCCACAAATGTATCTGGAGTCCTATAACTGGAAGAGCTAACCTCAGCAGCCCACTACCATTTTTTTTTTTTTAAATATCATTGTGGGGGGAAAGAAAATCAGGGCTTTAACTATAGATTTAGAATAATTTAGTAAGTTTTTCATCATTATAATCCTCCCCCAAACTGTGTATCTCTTTTAGAAAAGTTTCACCATAAAGTACCAAGAGACTACTTTTTAGTCTCCTCCTATTGTGGTAGAATGTATAGATTCTGCTATTATTCCTGGAATCTGGGTTAGAAAAAAACTCAAAGGGTTGTGGTATTTGTGGAGGTGGTTAAAATATGGCTAGCCTCCCTGGCAGACACTCAGGAAAGAGGGTAGACAAGCTCAAGATGCTTTGCTGGGTTAATTTAAGCAAAAAAAAAAGCAGCAGATTTACAACAACTTTCCTCAGAAGTCAGCAGCAAAAAAAGTTATCAACACCACTTCTGCAGACAAGAGATAAAAAGAGATGTATTTATGTGTACGTGATTAGGTACACACGTCTGGAGGGTGACAGCAAACACATGAAGCATGATGGAAAACTATATTAAGTGTTTAAATTTTTTAAATTTTATTACAGTAAAAGTTACATTGTCATTAATCCCCCTCAAAATACTCCTCCTCACCCCGAACACACTTATCCCATTGTTCTTGCCACTTTCCAAAGCAGTTCTGGAAGTCAGCTTTTGTGAGTATCTTTAACTGTGCTATTGTGGCTTGATGATCTGGATCAATTCAGAATGTTTACCTTTCACGGTCATTTTTACTTTGAGGGAGAGCCAGAAGTACACAGTGCCAGATCCAGTGCTAGATGAGGACACACTGTGATGTTTTTACTTGGCAAAAACTGTTCAAAAACTATGGTGCATGTTTAAAATGAAAAGTTTATTATAATAAAAAACACACTGCCATTAACCCCCTCAAAATACTCCCCGTCGCTTCAAACACACTTATCCCATCATTCTTGGCAATCTTTTTTACTATAATATTTTTTTAAAGATATAAACATTCAATTCAATTTTTCAATCACTTTTTGTGCATCTTAGCTATACCCACTGTGGGGCCCAGAAGCAATGACACCTAGCACCCAGATACTGATCTCACAGGAGCTGTCTTGATCAAGTCTGGGACGCTCCGAACACTCTGAACAACAAAATAAATAATGAGGGCTGGGGATTTAGCTCAGTGGTGCCGCCGCCAGCCTCACAAGTGCAAGGACCTGAGTTCAATCCCTATTACCCCAAAAAAAGAAAGAAAAATAATGAGAGTAACAGACTATATTCCTTTAGGCAAAATATGAATCTTTCAGTCCAAAGTGACAAATAAATCAAGCTTTAACCTACAGAAATAAACAAATCTAGGACATACATGCAATTAGAAAAATCACAATTTAGCAACTATAATAGTCACTGATTTAGGCAAGTATCAACAAACACTGGTGGGTAAACGACGAAAAACAGAATATTTAGTGTCCCAAAGTAGCGTCCTACAAAATATGTGTTAAGTGATACATTTACAAAGGAGAAATCCAGTAGGCAAATCTTAACCAGTGATAAAAGTTCACATCATTAGTAATGGGTGAAATCATCGTGTAGCTCCTGATATAATGCAA